GGTTCTGAGTGTGTGTGTGTGTGGGGGGGGGAGGGTGTGCTAAGCCCCGCCCCTTCTGCCTGAGGCCCCACCCCTCCTAGGAGCATGGAGTGCCCCTCCCCCCATCTTGCCCAAGGGCCCATGGTGGCTGTGGCTGAAAGTCTTACCAGTTTGTGTGGTCATTCCTGATGAAAGCAAATAGAAGGGAAAGTCAGGGAGCAGGTTAAACCACTGAGTCCTCTCTACTTATCCCATGGGACACTGGGGCCCAGACCCTCAGCTGGCATGAGGGTGTGGCCCGAGGTCTCAGAAATGGCATGGAGTACCCCCAAACTGCTGTAACGTCAGGGCCTTCACTCAGCAGCCGTCCTGAAGTGGGGACAGTCTCCCTGCAGGGTTTGAGCGTGGCGGTTTCCCTGGGAGACAGGCCACTGACTGAATTGGGCATGCCCTTAAAAGTGACGCACTGTAACCCTTTGGCTTTCTGTCCTCCTAGACTGTCTCTTCAAAGTGTGCCCCATGAACCGCTACTCCGCCCAGAAGCAATATTGGAAGGCCAAGCAAACCAAGCAGGACAAGGACAAGATTGCCGACGTGGTGCTCCTGCAGAAACTCCAGGTAAGGAGAGCTGGGCCAGTGAATGCTGGCCAAATTCTAGGTGACAATCTTTGCAGTAGGTGGGGAAGTTATTAGAGGTACCGGCTGAGGATTTGCCAACATTTCTGCCACCTCATGACCTGCCAGGCTGTCTGTGCCAGGCTCCGTGGAGAGCAGAGCTTTCTCTTGGCAGCCTCTGTAGCTGTGGGCCTGCACCTCTCCACACTTGTACCTGTTTCTGTCTAGGAATCTTCCACTGCCTCCATCCATCCTGCTGGGGCTAACAGACTTACTTTTGGGAGGTTGGAGGGTGGCAAATCTGCAGCACGTCAGAGACTTCATCCTGTTCAGGATCCTTGCAACTGGACTAGTCAGCTTCACTTCTCTGGGCCTTCTTGCATCTCTGCATTTCACTTCTCTGGCCTGGCTCCCCTTTAAGTCCGTGACAAAAACAGCATTGACTCAGCAGGCGGAAGATGGGGTGACAAGACAGCAAAGCTGGAGAGCGTAAGAAAGAAGAGAAATAAAATGACTGGGTGTCTTTATGGGATGGATGACAAAACTCTGCAAGAAGGATGGGCTGAACCGTTGAGAGAACCTGATGGCATCAGGTTCATTTAGTGCAGTCCATAGCTGACGGAGGCTGCCCTTGAAATGTAGCAGTTCTGTACATAAGGTTGCCCCGTAGTATTAGGATAAAAAAAGCCGGGAAAATACGGCAGATAGGACTGATCCAAACTCACCGATTTCAGACTGCCGTTGACTTTGGATAAGGCCCGTACTAAATGTTGCCCGTTGTCTTAGAGGACTGTGTCAGTTTGGAAGGGTGATTAAAAGATTTTTAAGGGCAGAAGGGACCGCTGTGATCGTCTGGTCCCGCGGTGTCCAACCTACCAGCCACTAGCCACATGCGGCTATTTGTCCGGTTGAGTCTGGCTAGTTGGTTCACAGAATTATTTACATTTTCAGAATAATGTGGCAAGTTCACGACAGAACTGGTTGGACACCACAGGTCCAGATGGACCTGCTCTTTCACACAGGCCAGAGAATTTCATCTTGTTACCCCCGTATTGAACCCGGAATCTTACCCTCCAAAAAGGCATCCATTCTTGATCTGAAGATCTCTAGAGATGATCACCATCTTCTGCTCGGAGCATTACATTGGGCATAGATGCCGTCTCTGTTCCTGTGTAGGTTAGAAAACAATGTCTAATGTCAACCAATGTGCTTACTGTTAATGGAAGCAAATTAGCAACTGAATATAGTGAGAGCAGTGGCAGAATGTGGGTGTGGGAGGGCGAAATGTTTCCGATTTGAGTCCTGTTCTCATTATTTTAAAAAAAGTGCACAGCTTCTTGCGCCTCTCCCTCTGTCTTCTCAACACAACACGTGTGTGTGTGTGTGTGTGTGTGTGTGTGTGTGCACGCACATGTGTATGTATTGTAGGAATGTGTTCACTTTTATTTCTAATCCAATATGGAGCCCCTGTACCAGGAAGGAGTTTTACATAGGGTTTGCAGGTGTCCAGCATTCACCCGGACAGTCCGGTATTTCGCCTCCTGTCCGGTAAAAAAATTCAGAAAATACCGAACACCTAAGATGTCCGGTATTTTCTGATTATTTTGCCCCAACCAGGAGGCGAAAATGCCTGGCACCTCTACAAACACTCAGCACTCAGCCTCCCCCTCCCCAAGCCCTCCTGACCCCCAACACTCCCAGCCTCAGCCCCCATGCTTACCTGGTTCCGCAAGGCTGCCGGCACAAAATGGCTGCCGGCAAAAAGACCAAGGGGAAGCAATGACTCCTCTGGGTCCTAGTGCTCATCCTCTTCCCTGCACTCACACTTAAAGGGGACATGCTGTTTTAATTTAAAAAAAATTTTTTTTGCTCAACAACTCCCCCCCCCCCCACTTTTTTTTCTTCATTTTTTTCCCGGTGGTTTTTTTGGAGGGGTGGGGGGGCAGGTGTTTGGTATTTTTGTTTCAACCATCTGGCAACCCTAGTTTTACAAAATGTACTAACCACATTCAGGGGACTGTCAGCCATGCCAAGACCCTGGGCAAGGTGTGTGGGAGGGGCTGGATCCCTGCTCCTAGAAAGGGCTGGGCCAGGAACAGGGAGCCCTCAGTGCCTCGTGGAATGCACGACACTGCCCCCTCTCCCCCAGTTCTTAGTGCTACCTGGAGCGTGCAAAGCGGTGCTCTTTTACAAAATGTACTAACCACATTCAGGGGACTGTCAGCCATGCCAAGACCCTGGGCAAGGTGTGTGGGAGGGGCTGGATCCCTGCTCCTAGAAAGGGCTGGGCCAGGAACAGGGAGCCCTCAGTGCCTCGTGGAATGCACGACACTGCCCCCTCTCCCCCAGTTCTTAGTGCTACCTGGAGCGTGCAAAGCGGTGCTCTGGTGGTGGTTTAAAGAGCCCAGGACTCCAGGTACCACCACAGTAGAAGTGGCCGGGAGCCAGGGGCCCTTTTGAATTGCCAGGCCCCAGGTCAACTGCCTTCTTTGCCCGCCCTCCATTGGCAGGTCTGACCATATGAGGTCCAAGTTGAAGCCCCCTGTAGACACCAGGATGGGGCTGACCTTCAAGGCTGTATTTATCCAAGTTCCTAGCTAGGTTTAAGCCATCTTTCAACCAGAGGAAATAATTTCCTGAAATAGTAGCAGCCCAGAAATAAAGAACGGAAATCAGGCCTGGCGTTTTGTCTGCAGCAGACTGAAAAGTGCTTAGTTTAATTGCCTTTGTGCTGCTCTTCATGGTGGCTTTTGAGGAATGGAATATTTAATACACGTCTCACTTCGCCAGTAGCAGCTGGAGACGTGAAGCAGAGACAGGTGCTAGGCAAGATTTCCCTTCCGCCGCACAGCCCCCCCCTCCCCCAGTTCTGCCCTGTTATTCCAATCCCATGGCAGATGTTCCTCCGTGCAGACTTGTCACGTCCCTACTGATCCTCCCCAGGGACACTGCAGCCTTTCAGTGTAGACACTTTTGCCTCTTGGCACAGGTAATCCATCTCCCCAAGAGGTGGTAGCTAGGGTAGCAGAAGAATTCCTAGCAGTGCCTACACAGGGACTTAGGTCGGCTTAGTTACACTGTGTGCGCGCGCATACGTGACACACCCAGATCAACGTCATTAAACTGGCCTAATTATCTAGCATTCACCAGTCTTCAGGGGAGATGGCGGTTTTGTGACATGGACAAATACTTTGTAAGCAACCAGTTGGGGGCCTCACACTCCTTTTCCTTATGGGAGCTCTTTGCATTGGAGATTCACTGGGTCTGGGGGACCAGACTTGGTGGAGGCTTTGGAAGTTGGATTTAGCTCCACAAAGAGCTGCAGACAGCCATCTCTCACGTGCAGTGCTGGGTGCAGGGAGTCGTACTTTCCCCTCCTGCTTGCATACCTGGACGCATTTCAGTGGGTCACTGTTTTCCAAGCCGCCTGCAAATCCCCGGGGTGGGCAGGGTGCAGCCATCTTCTTCTTCTCCTTATGGTTCCTTTCGGCAACCCTGGTGTGATGTGCCCAAGCCGTATTCCAAGTCTGTTCCAAGCCGGGCCTGCTCAGGCTCCCTCTCGCCCGCTGCTGGAGCGGAAACAGAGGCCGATGTTTAGCTGCAGATGCCGAGGGATTAGGGAGTAATTACAGAAAAGTGGCGGCAATGCTTTAAAGAGCTTTTAATTGGCAGCGAAGCGGCAGCCTGCAAGCGGCAGCGTCTGCCAAGGCAGATTTGCAGTGGTGGCCCTGCCTGCTTGGGCAGTTTTAAGCGTTCGCTTGTAAGGGACTGACTCATGGATAATTGTTTTAAACTGTTTTTAAAGCGGCTGACTCATTTTCCAGCCCTGGATCTTCTGCCTGTGCCGTTCACAGCAGCTTGGGGCGGCTTTTCCTCTCCCCCCAGCTTCTTTCTGGCCCTTTGCCCAGGAGCACACTGCTGGGAGCCACCCTCTCAGCAACATGAATTTCCCCCCTCTCCTGGCTGACTGGGGGAGAAGGTGAAGCCCCCGTGGGCTGACGGCGCTGTGCAGTCTGGGCTAGGGATGGAGTCGCAAGAATTCAATTTTGCATGTCTTGAGACCCATGAACCACCCACAAAATCACCCGGTCGCAGTCCCTGGCTCTCCAGAACTAGAGCACGCAGGGCTGGCTGTGGTACCATCCCCTGTAAGCTGCACCGGGCTGGCCGGTTTGAGAGCCTGGCATTGAATCCAGGGGAGAGCATTGCTGCTGCAGTCGGACCCCTTTATTCCCCATACAAATACGCCCGTCAGGAGAATTCATCCCTCACGCCGTATTTTCAACTGCAGCAACCACGTGGAGGCAAGGCGAGCGTGTGGGGTTTGGGTGGGAGAGGCTGGTTGGCACCTTCCAAAGCATCTCAGAGCAGGCTTCCTCCCAGCTTCCTGGTCATCACGTGGCCATCTCTTTCGCCAGCTGGTGAGGCAGGATGTGCGGCCGCCTCTGTGAGTCTCCTGCCTCTGCTTTTGGAGGGGAGCTGGCCCTAATAGCTCCTAGAGACATCACGGACCTCGGGGTCTGCCAGCACCAGCAGGCCTTCAAGTGGAGGCAGCTTGGCCAGCGTTGGGCTAAGGCACAAGCTCCCTTGTTTTCTCCTTCCCTGTAAGACCTGGGGCCAGGCTGTCCAGAAGTGTTTTCCAAGGCCCCCTCTGATTTGGGGTGCATTGGTTTCTGGGTTTCCAGTTGGAGTCTGTGGCCAGGTCTCCCGGGTAGCAGGGTGGCCTAGTGGTTAGGTTCCAGTGTTAGCTAGAGGCCCAGGGTTAGGCCCTGCCTCTAAGGCCCTGAACCTAGGAATTCTGGCCTCTTACCAACATTTGGTTCTTCAGTTTGGGGCATGGCCCCTGGAGTCCCAATTTCCCCTTCCTCAGTGAGGATTCCTTCTGGTTCTCCCCCCCTTTGCACCTGGGGGAGGGGTTGGAGGCTTACATGCGCCTGTGGCTGACCCAGTAGACAGCTCTGGCTCAGGTCCGGCAGACAGCAGAACCAGGTCCCATCTCTTCGCTGGTTAGTCCCTCACTGAGCCAGGTTCCTCCCTTTTATTCTCCCTCCAGGCCTGGCATTGGCTGCAGGTAAAATGGGGCGGGGCTAGTTGGGCAAAAAGGCTTTGTGTATCCCCTGCAGGGCCAGGCCCTCCTCTCACTCCCTCTGAGTCTCCTTAGCCCAGGCATGTCCAAAGTCCGGCCCGCGGGCCAATTGCGGCCCGTGTTCCGGTTTAATACGGCCCCCCAGGTAATTTGGCAATATCTATCTTTTATGGCCCCCAACGAATCCATATGTATTGAGATGAATACATTGTAAAATCTCAGTTAATGTCAGTTGGTCTAAATCAGTTATAAATATATTTGGACACAACATGTATACTTGGTGTTATGTTCCTGTTCATATTTTTTGAACTTAAAAGTTGACAGACAACCTTTATTACCAATAATATGTAATGTACTTTACAATGTTCCTGACATATATTTCAGCTTCCTGGATTTTTTTTTCATCTGGCCTTCAGATATGAAAGGCAGAGTGATTTAACACCTGTGTCCCGTCTCTTTGCTGGTTAGTCCCTCAGGGTATGTCTACACTACCCCGCTAGTTCGAACTAGCGGGGTAATGTATGCATACCGCACTTGCTAATGAAGCCCGGGATTTGAATTTCCCGGGCTTCATTAGCATAAGCGGGGAGCCGCCATTTTTAAATCCCCGCTGCTTCGAACCCCGTGCAGCGCGGCTACACGGGGCTCGAACTAGGTAGTTCGAACTAGGGTGCCTATTCCGAACTACCGGTACACCTCGTTTCACCCAGACCCCAAAGCAGCCCAGATCACAGGCCGCTTTATAGGACGCAGCCCCCAGCCTGTGCCCGTGGAGGGGGATTCAGAAGTGGGTCCCAAGGCAGCCCTTCGCCTAGGAAGCTGCCCTTGTCACCTCCTGCTCCGTCCCCTCCCGCCCGGCCGTGACTCACTGCGCCCCGCTCTGTGTTTTGCGGACAGCATGCGGCGCAGATGGAGCAGAAGCAGAACGACACGGAGAACAAGAAGGTGCACGGGGACGTGGTGAAGTACGGCAGCGTTATCCAGGTAGGGGCATGTGCTCTCCCCCCCCCTTGGCGCGGGGCTGTGGCTCACATCACGTCCTGCTAGCTCCTGACGGGACGTCCAGCGATAGGGCCTGCAGCCGCCGAGACAGCGGCCTGGTTGCTTCTCCCAGGAACTCCAGTTTTCATTTCAGTCAGCGCAGCTGGACAAAAAATGTCGGGTGTGTCAGGGAAACAGCCGTGGCTGGCTCGGAGACACCCCCTAGCAGGGGGAGGGCCCCAGAACCCGGCTCCAGCTGGGAACTACGCTGCAATTGTATAGCCCTACAGCCCGAGCCAGCTGCAGGGCGGGCGCTATTGCCGCGTAAGCGCAGGTGTGAGAGCAGAGGGGTCTCCAGGGGCACGACGAGGGGAAGCAGCTGGGCTCTGTCCCAGACCAGGCAAGCATCTGAGCAGTTAAGCATCGGTGTCTGGACACAATCCTCCCCTGGCGTGTAGCTAAAGCTCAGTCCATTCCCAGCCAGAGACCAGGCAGATTCCTGCCTGTTGGGGGGTGAGTGGCTGGTGTGAATTGCTAAGCCGCCACAGGATTGGAGAGGGCTGCGGGTGAGCAGGTGGGCTGCTAGAGTAAATTCTCCCCCTGTCGGACGCAGCAGCCTGATCCACGCGGCTGGCACGGGGGGTGTTAGTGATACAGTGGCCAAGGCTGCCAAAGGACCATGGGATGCCTTGGCCCTGCAGCATGGGACCCTGTGTCTGTCTGTTACCTTTGTCTAAGGGCTGCTGGCTGGCAGGTTAGTTTTGGGGGTACAACTACACCGCTTCCTGAGCGCTGGAAGCCACAGGCCACCCCGTAAGTGTGGCCTTGCAGTGACACACAGACCAAGGCAGCCGGCAGGCTGGAGAACAAGACAAAAGCCAAGGGCAACGCGGGCAGAGCCAGGTGGAGAAGAAACAGGGCTGCGGGGCACAGACAGGGCTCCAGCTCCCCGTCTGTGCTGCTCCCTGCTTCCCAGCCTGGGCTAAGGGATCGGGGATGGCATTGCGCTGTGTTTGGCTTTCCAGCTGCTCCACATGAAGAGTAACAAGTACCTGACGGTGAACAAGCGTCTCCCGGCCCTGCTGGAGAAGAACGCCATGAGGGTGACGCTGGATGCGACGGGCAACGAAGGCTCCTGGCTCTTCATCCAGCCCTTCTGGAAACTGCGGAGCGCCGGCGATAACGTGAGTGTGACAGGGAGGCAGAAACCGAGGCGGGGACGGTACGAGGTGTCCCTGTCACCACTCGGAGGGCTCTCCAGGAGGCTTGGCAAACATCACATGTCTCTGCTTCTCTGGGAGGCAGTTGGGGAAACTGAGGCACGACAAGGGGCTGATAGAATCCAGGAGTCCTGACTCTCACGTTCCAGCCCCGATCACTAGACTGTGCACCCTCCTGCTGCCTCCACTCCAGGACTGATCTGGGGCTATGACGCCAGGTGGTTGGGAGTGGGGTGTGCAGGGGCTTGGCTGTGGCTCTCAAGCAGATGAGGGTGGGGCAGAGGGGACATGCCCTATTCCGCAGCGCCCCAAATGCAAGGCAGAGAGTCACTTTCCTGCATCCCGGTTCCAGATGCCTCTGAGTAAAAAGACCCTCAGAACAAGGGTGATGGGGTTGGGCCGGAACCTAAGGTAAGGGTGGGAAATCTTTTGTGAAGGGGGGCCACTTTGTGAATTTCGGAAGTAGTCACAGGCTGTCCCCGAAGAAGCGGGGTCTTGGATGGAATGGGGGGGCAATCAGGGCCTAAGGTTGGGGAGCATCGCCTTGCTGGGGCGTGTGGTGACTAGAGAGAACCTCCAGCCTTTTAGAACAGCCGGCGGTTCCCTCTGGTGCCAGGGAGGAGACATCTCGATCGGCCTGGGAATGGGGGAGTGGCAGGGCGTCTGCGGGCCGGATCAAACGGCTTGGAGGGCCGAATCTGGCCCACAGACACTATCTTGCTCATCCCACCCTAAAGGCAGGACCATGCTTAAGGGCAAGACTTCTGCATCAGTGTCCCCGAAAGATCCCTCGGCAGCGCACCCACTTTCACGCTCTCACCCCTCTCTCTGATTCTCCTCCCCAGGTAGTTGTGGGAGACAAAGTGATCCTGAACCCTGTGAACGCTGGGCAGCCACTGCATGCCAGCAACTACGAGCTCGCCGACAATGCAGGCTGCAAAGAGGTATCAGGGCCACGGAGCAGGTCAGGGCAGGGTTGGTGGGAGGGCTAGTCATGAAGCTCATGTATGTATCTGTCAGCCTGTGGAACTCCTTGCCACAGGATGTTGTGAAGACCAGGACTTTAACAGGGTTACAAAAAAACTGGATACATTCATGGAGGATAATTCCCTGTTCTGTTCATTCCCTCTGGGGGCACCTGGCATTGGCCAGTGTTGGAAGACTAGATGGTCTGATTCAGTCTGGCCGTTCTTATGACCTTCTTTCTCATTTGGGGCCTGTTTAGAACCAATCTGTTTTGCTTCAGGCCCATCTCTTTTTTTTCCCCAGGTGAACTCTTTCTCATTTGGGGCCTGTTTGGAACCAATCTGTTTTGCTTCAGGCCCATCTCTTTTTTTTCCCCAGGTGAACTCGGTCAATTGCAACACCAGCTGGAAAATCAACCTGTTCATGCAGTTCCGGGACCACATGGAGGAAGTGCTGAAAGGGGTAATGAACAAGCATCCGTTCTTCACTCCGGGGCTGCAGGAGAGGGATTCTATTGTGCTAGGCCCAGTACAAACCCGGCAGGAGAGACTGCCCAGACCCGGTCGCTGTGAATCAGGATTTCCTTTCCAGCCCACACCAAAACAGAGTGCAGCGCTGTGCTTCTTTAAGAAGGAAACCTGGGCTCCCACCTGTCGTGCCACCATGTGAAGTGGGTGGAGGAACTGTGTGGGGCAGAAGGGCATCTGGATGGGGTTGCCCGGCTGAGCAGGCCACTGATAAAGGTTTGAGGCTGCTTGAAACCTGAAGGCTGTCTGCAGCCCAGCAAGAAGGCAGTTGGCGTTGATGGCCCATGAGTGCCTGCGTTGGCCCTGATTGGCCCATTGTGGCATAGTGGGGGGCTGTCTGCTCTGTGACCTGGGGTCCCCCTGCGCTGTGATGTGAGATTCTCACTGACTCTCCCAAATGTGGATTAACACAGACACCCGGGCTCAGCCTCCCAGGGAGAGAGACAAAGGGAGGAAGGCGGAGACCAGCACCTGGCTGGGGGGCAGGGCTGGAAGTTGGGCAGTTTCTGTCCCGTATCATGTAGGAAGCAGCCTAAGCAAGGGGCTGGGATTTAGGGGCCCAGTCTCCCCCATCTCAAGGGGGCCTGAGGCATCCTAGGCCTGCCTGTAACCAGATTACATCTCTGCTGTGCTGTATCCTGGAGAAGCAATAAACTCCCCCCATTCTACTGGCTGCTGGAGTCTGTTCATGCCACTACGGGGGTGCAGGGGTTAGGGAAACCCTGACGCGCCGTCACACCCATGAGTGCCTGTGTTGGCTCTGATTGGCCGATAAGTGCCCGCCTTGTCCCCAATTGGCCAATGCGTGCCTGCGTTGTCTCTGAAGCTTGGGAAAGGGGTGTCCACGGAACCGGTGGAGCAGAACGTTCCCTCGCTGGGCGTGTGTCTCTCTGGTCACCTCGTCTCTCTGTCCCTGGCTGGCAGGGGGACGTGGTGAGGCTGTTCCATGCCGAGCAGGAGAAGTTTCTCACCTGCGACGAGTACAAGGCCAAACTCCACGTCTTTCTCCGCACCACCCTGCGGCAGTCCGCCACGTCCGCCACCAGCTCCAACGCGCTGTGGGAAGTCGAGGTGAGCCCCGGGGGAGCGCGCTAGTGGAAGAGCACGTCGGCTCTCCCTCTCGTGGCTGGGGAGCACGGCGGATAACTACCTACTGCTGCCGACAGCGGATGGCAGCTCAGACGGTAGAGGAGAGGCAGGTGTCTTGGGGCAGACAGTCCCCACTGCTAGCCCTGCCGGGGACGCAGGCTGTGGTGGCATCATACTGGCGTCTGGAGGGTGACTCTGGATTGCTGACTTCACGTGTGGGACGTTTTGGCAGAATGAATGGCTGTCTGTACAGTTCAGGCCTAGGCACTCTGCTTTGCTGACAGTAAAAGGCTGCCCCTGTGTAAAGCTGGTGTAGCGCCGGGGGCTTCAGTGCCGCCTCTTGAGAAGGGGCAGCGAATTGCTGTAGGGGGTAGACCCGAAGCAGACTCGGGGTCTACCCCGTGAATGCCTTAAAGGGGCATGCAACCTCCCCCCCGCTCCCAACATAAAATCCTTGGTGTTACGCATAAAAATATACAATTGTTTGGTGTTCCTCGGTCTTAAAAAGTTTAAGAAACACTGGCCTAGAGGATTCAGATTGTTCCTGTCCATGGCTGAACACCTTATCTCCTCTGAGGCGTGCCTGTCACATCCATCCCTCGGACCACCACAGAGTTATCTCCCTGTCCTGCATTTCTCCTCACCTCTGAGTCAGGGCAGGGCCGTTATCGCCATTTTACAGGGGGAAACTGAGGCACGGAGTGGCAAAGTGACATCCCAAGGTCACACAGAACAGGTATGGTGGAGCAGGGACCCAAATCCCAGGCTAGCACCCTAACCGCTGGACCACCCTGCCTCTCCTTTTCAGGTGGTGCATCATGATCCCTGCCGAAGCGGAGCCGGACACTGGAACGGCCTGTACCGCTTCAAGCATCTCGCCACTGGGAACTACCTGGCCGCAGAGGTGAGAGCGGTGGAGGGGGCTGGATGGGGAGGGCCTGCTCCATTGCCAAGGGGCTGTCTTGCAGAGCAGCGACCGCTCCCCGCAGGGCCCCGTTCTGCATGGGAGCCCTGCGCATCTCCCGGGGGCCTTGATCCAGTCTGTCGGGCGCTTTGAGAGCCTTTGGCCTGGCAGGCTCCTTGCCCATGTTGTCAGGAGGGTCTGCAGCTCCTCTTAGCTCCTCCTTGCTAATAGCAGGTGGCAATGCCAAGGGTAGGGACATAGCCCCCAGCGCCAGCCTGCCCTCGTCAAACTCGCTCCTCACGTTCCCCTTCCCTCTTGGCCTGCAGCACGCAAGCCCTGCCAGCTGAGCTGCCCTTTATTTGCTCCCCCCGGGTGGAGCTCCGCTGCCCATCCCCTCGTCACAACCCCGGCGCTTTGCCGCAAAGGAATGTGGCCAGCTGGGCATAACTCCTTCCGGCCCCTCTCCAGCCTCCGTGCTGGGCCTTGCTGTCGGGCATTCGCCGACTCTGCTCCTCTAGTCCACTGCTTTCCGGCCTTTTCGCCTCGGCGACCCCTACTGCATGTGGAGGTGCAGCCCCCTCTGGAAATCCTAGGACACCCAGCGGGCCACATGCCACAGGCTGAAAACCACCAATCGAGTCTGACCCCCGACATAATGTAAGCCAGAGAGTGTCATCCACTGAGTCCTGCCTCTAGCCCCCCGGGCAACGAAAGCTAGGAGCTGTGTTTTAGAGAGGGACATCCAAGAAGGACGTATGTGGCATGTCTGTGTTGAAGTCAGTGGAAGAAAGAGCAGGTGGCATCCTCCGTGGCTGGGAATTCAAAAGGGCCAGTCAGTGGCCCAGCATACGCGTGTCTGTGTGCGCGCGTTTATTTCATATTTCTTTTAATGTTTTAGGAAAACCCCAGTTACAAAGGAGACGCCGCCGATCCCAAGTCAGCACCCATGGTGAGCTGCGTTCTGCTCGGTTAATGGGGGGAGCTGCTGCTGCTGTTCTCTGGGCTGGGACGTAATTTCCTCTCTCCTCCGCTAAGGCTATGTCTAGACTACGTTCTATTTTCGAAAGAGGCTATGCAGATTCCGCGGGAATTTGCATATGTTCTTCCAAATCTCACTTTCAGAAGAGGATCTTTCGAAAGTGAAAGTAGTCTGGATGCACTTTTTTTCAGGAAAACGCCCCTTTTTTGAAAAAAACCCCGC